GAGACATACCAAGACTGAGTTAAAATTTTGTAACCTGTATTTCGAAAGCATATTACCGGTGGCTTATTTGTACCCCTTCCGCTAGTGATAATAAGGTCGTCTTCATACTTTGTTTTCAGCTTTTTGAACAGGGATTTATGAGTCGGGATAAAGCCTTCGAAGTCTTTCAAAATTTCTGACAAAGTAAATTGGCATTGGTCTTCATTTTCCTCGATGTAATTGCAAATATAGTTAAATGCCAGAGACACATCTTCATCTTCAGGTCGACCAACTGACGATCCAGTTTTTGCATCTTTTCAGAAACTTGATACTGCAGGAGCGGTGGTATCTGGCCTCTACCGCAACTAAATTATTTTCAAGACGAATTCTTTCAAGTACCTCTTCATCCTGCCACCATTCAGCTGCAGCCAAGAGGGAATTTTTGAACTCAATTGTTGACACATACTGCACGGTAACTCGCCTCTTCAGAGGCTTCTTGCTTTCTCTGGCCACAAATTCCTGTGATGCGTCTTCCCCACAGATCACACATCTCTTCTTAAAATCAAAAGTCGGGACCCTCTCTCTATGCCTCTTGGGGATTTCTTCTTCACTTCTTTTCTCCTTTGAATATATTTTCCTGCAACTTTCGTGAATCACTACTGAAGTAAGACCTTGAAGTTGAAGGTGTTTCTCATCCTTCCTTGCTATACTTCTTTTTATCAATGTTTCTATTCCTCGTTCTTTTACTGTAGTTAAGGCCTCATCATGTAATGGTTTGTAACAAATTAAACAGTTCGGGTCATTCATGTTTGTAGGTGTTGAACACGCCAGATAATCTTCGAAACAATAGAACACTTTCTTTCAAGTATAATCAACTTTTCACTCTGTAATTATCAAAACAGAGACACGAACTTAAAAGTAAAAAAACAGACTTTTTTCTACAAACGTCAATAAATGACAAGGTGCACGCATTGATAACAATGTACGAAGTGACCCTTTTTTTCATTGTCCTACGTTACCATGACACCGTGCGCGAAGTAGCAAAGCATTGTGCGAAATAGGCACCTATTGTGAAATAGGTATTTTGCACACTGCATGTAAACTATGTGGGATTTTTATATTTCAACCTTTATGGTTTATGGTACTCAATGCAAAAAATCCATGGAATCATTTGTTTCTGAATGTTTAGGTAACAATAATTAAGGCTTTTAAACTCTTTTCAAATTGTGACAAAATTTTACACTACCTAATTTTATTTATTATTTACAATGAATTTTGTTTGGCGTTTGTAAAAAAAAATTTGTTTGCAACCCGTGCGCGAAATACTTTGGTGATTTCGACTATTTTTTAACTTGGCTGCGCCTCGTTAAAAAAATCAGCTCTCGATCACCAAAGTAGCATTTCGCGCACTAGATGAAAAATAATTATAAATTGATGCAAAATTTGGGACCGAAGCTGAACCGGGCATTCAGATATCCGGATAATTGGACAAATCAAGAAAACTTAAACATTTGGACATCTATCTATATAACGTAAAATTTTATTCCCTACAACTTTTATTTTATGGGTTTTGTCAATAGGAGTATCTGTTTTCACGATATGTCGTCTTGGAAAGCCGCAAAATGTAAGCTTGCACCGAACTACGAAATTTTCTTCTTTTTTAACATTCGATTTCGGCTATACTACTAAACGGAATTTGATGTTTTCAGATGTCATTCGACGCAGAATTTTGCCTTCTATATTATTGAATAGAATGACATTTTTCGACCGATGAACCATTTTGCAGCTATAAGCAAAAAAATAAAAAAAGTGCAAAAATTTGGCGGTTTTTTGGCTATCAAAAGTTAAGCTCAACTCCTGGAATGGTGCAAACTCAGATTACACGCATTTGGGACCGAATGAAGGTAATTAAATGATTTCCAGCTTGCTGGAAATTAATTCCTCAAAATATAATTATTTGTATATATGGAAAATTAAATAAAGTTTTAACTATTTTATTCTGGGCTATTTGTAATCTATTGATATCTAATTGCCTTGCTTGTCCCCAAAAAGCAGCTAAGTAAGTCAGATGGGAATACACATGTGAATAGTAAATTTGGTATTTTGTTTTTTTGTTGAACCTTATGAGCAAAAGACTCAGACTTTGATGCAAAAAATTGTTCCACTGATTGATAATACTTCCTCTTTGTTGCCTCTATATTTAGGAGATATCCTGTTACATTCAGAAAAATAAATAGGGTATATTCCTGAAAATGATAATATTCACAGTTATTCAACTAGACATAGTCACCACTTATACAGAGTGGGCCATTGAAAACGAAACAGCGGCTCTGTAGGTCGGCAAAACCGGATTATGAAAAAAATCTGAAACACGTCAACTACATTTTCGAGGGGGACATCGTTCTAAAATATTTTCAGCCCTGCGGCGTTGCCGCTTCTAACGAAAAGAAGCAACAACTTTGTTATTTCAAATGGAACACCTTATATTTCATTGCAGTTTTAGATTCTCCCCGAAGAGCTGATTTCATCAATGCATCACACTTGGGGTCTAGCTGGAATGATTTCAGAGATATAGGGTGTTAAAAAATCGAGATTCTTCAACTTTAGGATTTTTTTGTGTCGAAACTATTCATTATTGGTCAAAACGGCTTTTATGTCCCTATCTCAACTTTTGATTTACTATCTACTGACATTTATTTGAAACAAATACAGGGTGGTTCAAGATTCAGACTTCTGATCACCCTGTATCTGTTACAATGAAATGTCAGTAGATAGTAAATCAAAAGTTGAGATAGGGACATAAAAGCCGTTTTGACCAATAATGAATAGTTTAGACACAAAAAAATCTTAAAGTTGTAAAATCTCGATTTTGAACAACCCTATATCCCTGAAATCATTCCAGCTAGACCCCAAGTGTGATGCATTGATGACATCAGCTCTTCGGGGAGAATCTTAAAATGCAATGAAATACAAGGCGTTCCATTTGAAATAACAAAGTTGTTGCTTCTTCTCGTTAGAAGCGGCAACGCCGCAGGGCTGAAAATATTTTAGAACGAAGTCCCCCTCGAAAATGTAGTTTACATGTTTCATATTTTTTTCATAATCCGGTTTTGCTGACCTACAGAGTCGCTGTTTCGTTTTCAATGGCCCACTCTGTATAAACGTCAAACCTATTAGGATATAGCACTGAATGGTCCAATATCTAGTTGTATCACAATATATCATTAGCTTCCAAATATCATCAAAGAACAAGGGACATACTTCAAGTTCAGGAAATCTCTTAAACAATACCTGCTTAAAGTGTTACTACACAGTAGATGAGTTTCTAAATTTCTGGTACTGGCTCTTTTTCTATATTTTTCAAAAGTATCACTCATGAAAATGTATGTTTAGTGTTCACTCATATGTGTATATATAGGGTGAATCAAAAATGTGTAGGGAGCTTCCTAGAAATGATAGAATTTTATTAAAAATTATACTTTGATAGATATACTTATGGCTCAAAATGTATATCAAGGAAGATATTGTAATGATATTACCCTCAGAGGGGCTCTAGAAACATCAGCAGGAAGACAGGAGTACAATGATCATCCTGTAACAGCAGCTAGTGTCAGAGAGACAGGGATATACAGCATGATATAAAACGTTTTACATAAATAATAGTTATAAGTTCCTTATAAATTAGTGTTTCTTTAGTTCAAATAAATCAGTTGGAAAATAAATAGTGTAGTGTTCGCTTCTGCACCGGAATAAGATAACAATATGTCCTTCCAAATTCCATAAAATCAAAATAATTTCTCCACATAACTTCTAAATGGTGAAAACCACCAGATCGAAATTATCTGCATAAATGTATGTTGTTGAAATACATTTTTCTGATACACTTCTCCATTTATGATATCATTATAATTATATATGGTGTTTTCAGAGGCTGGGTCATGATTTTTTGGAGTCAACTTCTTTCATTTTATGTTTTAGCAAAAAAATAGAAATAGAAAAGCTACTAATATCAAAATACTAAAAATTGAACCGTTTTCAAAATATTTGAGTTTTTCTAGTCACATGATATCATCAGATATTCTTGTTCTTCATTTTGACGTTTAGGACATCAACATTTCAATTGTTAATTTCCTTGTTTTGTTTATATGCTTAGTAATATTATTACTGTGATTTTCAACTGATCTTTTAAGAAATTGCAGATTTTTTGTTATGCTGATATGTTTCCTGCTTGATGCTTTCCAAATTTTTGAATAATTTTGAGGATTGTGCAAAGATTGAATTAGAAAATAATGTTTTAATCTTGAAGCCTCCTAAAATATTTTTAAAGAAGAATTTATCTGCTGATATCATGTTACCAAAAACATTTTTTGTATTTTGATAAGACTACCGTTTCAATGTATTTTCTTCAGTTGTATTGAAAGCCTTGATTAAAAGTTACTGTTTTTCCACCAAAAAGAATATAAGGAAAACAGTTTCCTCAAAAAATCATGACCCACCCTCTACAAACACCCTTTATAACAATATAAAAAATGTAGAAGTGTATCAGAAAAATGTATTTTATTAACACACATTCATGCAGGAAAATTCAATCTGAAGGCTTTTACTATTTAGAAATTATGGGAAAAATCATTTCAATTTAATCAACTTCAGAAGAATAGTTTTCTCTTTATACATTATGGGCCATTAGTTAATTCATCAAACTATACTTCAATGAACTATCATGTCCAGAAAGCTCAGTACACATTTTATAATGCTCACCCTGTATATGTAATTGTTACTTGTGACTTGTTTTATACCTTGTATAGTCTACAAAATTAATGAAGTTGATTGATTGTTCTGGACTACATTTTCAACAAGGTGCAGCTAGTCAACTAAACAGTAGAGCCTTGTAACTAATGTTCAAGATATGAACTGTCTTTCATTCCATTGTCACTTAATTGTTTAAACAACTAATGAGTTATGTAACAATAAGGAATTAAATTATACTCTGTAACCCTTGCTGTAACCTTTTAGTCATTTACCTGAAAATCTATCTCCATCCATTCTCATATCTAGTGGTCCATTCTTAGAAACAGAAAACCCCCTGCTTGCTTCATCAAACTGCATAGATGAACAACCAAAATCAAACAATATGCCATCAATAGTATTTTGTTTAATACCCTTTGATTCAAGTAACTTTGGTAATTCTGAAAATCTTCCAAGAAGTGGTGTGACTTGGAAAGGAAACTCCTGTGCTAATTCTTCTGCATAGCCTAAAGCCAAAGGATCCCTATCTAGTGCCAGAAGTTTGATATTTGCAGCAGCTGATAATAGCCTACGACTGTGTCCCCCTGAACCAAAAGTCATATCCAGTATTGTTTGTCCTTGTTCAGGTTTCATGAAGCTCACAACTTCATCAACCATGACAGGGACATGTCTTGGGGCATGATACAATCTTTTCCCAAGGATCTTCACTAATTTTAGTGTATAACACTGGCACAATGATTGTTTATTTAACATATTGAAACTATTTGTCATCAGGTTTGAGAGAAATCAATTTTCTGAAGAATGATTCTTCTTTCATTTTCAAATGTTTTAGAAATTCATTTGATAATGCTACATTACACTGCTCAGCAGTGAGTCCTGTTGAGGATGAGGATAGAGAACGTTGACTGGATTTCTTGTGTGTGTTGTTGACCAACTTTTGGATGGAAAGATACTGCTTATCCCAGTATTTGGATTCGGTTTCAAACTTATTGTCACTGTAGGCTTTATTGATGAAGTATCTCAAATATTCTCCTAAATCCCTAAAGAACAAATTATAAGGAAAATCTTGAGTTTAGTAGAATAATTCAGATATCATGCTCATACCTTCCACCAGCTTTATTGGGATCTACAGGCCATTTTTCAATTAATTTAACAATACGTTTGTAACTTCCTGCAGCAGTTACAGTGGCTGACATTACTTATTAATAATTCGGTCGCACTCGCGTGCACTAGAGTCTAGAATCCCTGTATGTATAATTCCCTGTATATATTTGACACTTTTGATTACAGCAAAAGTGTCAAATATCAAATACATACACCGGTGTGAAGCTGGCAGACCAGCGGCCAAAATTTCCGAAGTTACCCGAAGGACCAGTGGCGCACCAGATATTTTTTTCAGGGTGTGAACTTGGCAGACCATTGGCAGCTGAATTTCCAAAGATCTCGAATGAACAGTGGCTGACCTCAAAAATATTTTTTCTACAAACGTCAAAAAATGACAAGGTTCGCGCATTGATGACAAACTGCGAAGTGACACTTTTTTTCAGTTTCCTACGTTACCATGATACCTTGCACATAACAATGCGCGAAGTAAAACAGTGCGCGAAGTACCTACTTCGCGCATTGTAATGTAAAATTAATGAGATATTTATATTTCAACTATATGGTCCTCAATCGAGCAAACATCTATAAAATCATTTATTTCTGAATGTTCAACAATAACTTTGTTTTATCTCTTGAGCGCACGAAAGGAAATTCGTATTATGTTCGTGGAACATCGTGCGTACCTAGGAAGGATAGGGGGAGGCCTTTAAAGCCAGTTCAACACTATTTTTTATATCTAGCTAAGCATATTTTCACTTCAGAACTATATTTTCTGACGTTTGTAAAAAAAATGTTGTTTGCAACTCGAGCGCGAAATACTTTGGTCATCTCGACTATTTTTTTTACTCGGCTACGCCTCGTTAAAAAAATCAGATCTCGATCACCAAAGTAGCATTTCGCGCTCTAGATACAAAAATAACTATTTCTGTCTGTAAAATTATTGCAATAAGATATTATGATTCCTATTCACATAAAAATTATTACAGTTATTGTGGAATAAACATATATATACAGGGTGAGTCAAAAATGTGTACCGAGCTTTTTGGGGGTGATAGAACATTGAAAAATAAGTGTAGTTTGATGATTAAACTTATGGCCCAAAATGCATATTAAGGGAGATATATCCTTCCAAAGTTGATAAAATTGAAATAATTTCTCCGCATAACTTCTGAACGATGAAAGCCACCCGATTGAAATTTTGTGCATAAATGTATGTTGTCAAAATACATTTTTTCGTCACACTTCCACATTTCTGATATTGTTATAAAGGGTGTGTTTTCAGAGGGTGAGTCATGATTTTTTGTAGAAAACTTTTTTCCCTGTATTATTTTCGGTGAAGAAACAGGAGCATTTGATGGAGCGAAGAAAATTACATGGAAAAGGTACTCTTATTCAAATACAAAAAATTGAGCCGTTCGTGAGATATTTGAGTTTTTGTAGTTACATGATATCAGCAGATTGATTTTATTCATCGCGAGATTCATCGGTATAACGATATTTCAGCATGCCATGAACAATTTTGTTTTTAATTTTGTCGATAATATCACCTCCCTGTGCCACGTTACTGAGCAATAAGTACATAGCATAAGTCTGTCCCAACAAGGTTTGAATAAAAATAAAAGTTTGGTAATGTTTTTGGTACTTTTAATTAATACATAATTTTGAATGGAAGAAAAAGGGAAAAAAAAACGAATTAAAGTAGCTGTTCGAAATGTCCACCGTTTTCGGTTATACATAATCTGAGGCGTTTACGTAAATTATTCATCAAACCGTTCATAGTTTGGTGATCATTTTTCAACAACGTAAATTCGTTCATAATTTTTTGCCTCAGCTCCTCAACATTTCGAATTTCGCTTGAATTAACCCTAGATTTCATGTAACCCCAGATCGAATAATCTAGTGAATTGAGGTCAGGCGAACGAGCGGGCCAGGAAATAGGAGCGTCTATGCCTCGTCCTATCCACCTATCAGGAAAATTATCATCAAGCCATTCACGTACAACTCTTACATGATGTCCATGATGAGGTGGTGCTCCATCATGCATAAAGCAGATTTCCCTACGTATGTTGAGAGGAATGTCTTCTAATATCGTACCTAACTCATTTTCTAAGAAGTTGAGGTACATTGCACCATTCAGAGACCCTGGGAACATGTAGTATCCAATGAATTTGTCTCCTAAAGTCGCAGCCCAGACGTTCACTTTGAAATTATATTGAAGATGCGTTACTTTAACAACGTGTGGATTTTCGTCAGCCCAGAAATGAGTGTTGCGCGAATTGAAAACACCGTTTCTAGTAAAAGTTGCTTCGTCTGTGAACAATATCTTGTTTAAAAACTCAGGACATCTTCGAGTTCGTTCCAGCAACTCTTCGCAAAATCTCAATCTTATTTCATTGTCTCGTGGTAACAGTTCTTGTACCTGCAAATAATGATAAGGGTGTAGCTGTTGCTCTCTGAGAGTCCTGGTTACATTCGCTTGTATTGTGTCTATTCGTCTTGCTAATTTCCTTGTACTTATTTCCGGATCCTGTTCCACAGTATTTGATACTTCTTCTTCAACTTCTATAGTTCTCACACTTCTGGGTCGGCCACCATTTCTATTATTGGTTTTCAAACATCCTGTTTCACGCAGTCTTTGTACAATCCTCAAAATTGTTCTCGAATTTGGAACGCGTCGAGCGAGAAACATCTCTGCATATCGTCTCACAGCAGCATTTGCATTTCCGAAGCACTCGCCAAGCATTAGAAGCATATCAGTTTGTTCAGAGAACGAATAACCTGCCATATTTCTTAAAATCTCAGTTGATAATCGCAGTGATGAATGACACAGAAAAACCACACGTACAAATCAACTACAACAATGTTGACTCGAATGTTGATGACATGAACGTCAAAATTGAGAACAAATTATTCATCATGGCCTGCTAAAATATTGTTACCGATGAATCTCGCGATGAATAAAATCAATCTGCTGATATCATGTTACCGATGAATCTCGCGATGAATAAAATCAATCTGCTGATATCATGTAACTACAAAAACTCAAATATCTCACGAACGGCTCGATTTTTTGTATTTGAATAAGAGTACCTTCTTTATGTAATTTTCTTCGCTCCATCAAATGCTCCTGTTTTTTCACCGAAAATAATACAGGGAAAAAAGTTTTCTACAAAAAATCATGACTCACCCTCTGAAAACACCCTTTATAACAATACCAGAAATGTGGAAGTGTGACGAAAAAATGTATTTTGACAACATACATTTATGCACAAAATTTCAATCGGGTGGCTTTCATCGTTCAGAAGTTATGCGGAAAAATTATTTTAATTTTATCAACTTTGGAAGGATATATCTCCCTTAATATGCATTTTGGGCCATGAGTTGAATCATCAAACTACACTTATTTTTCAATGTTCTATCACCCCCAGAAAGCTCGGTACACATTTTTGACTCACCCTGTATATATATGAACACCTAGCAAATATACAAGTATCTACTTGATATTTTCTCCTTGACAAAAGTATATATGTGGTGGTGTAAACACAATAACGCATTTACTGTGAATTATTGAAACACAACCTCACTTTTTCATTTGTTTACAGAGGTATCAAAAGGTTGAAATAGTTTTTCACAATATTTTGGCATACGAATCGTGTTTCTTGCGTTATTAATTAATTCAAGCATGCCTTCGCATTGTGCTGTTGTACACACGTTTTGCTTTTTACGTTTCGTATTCTGATTGGTGAAGCAGAATTTGAAATAAAATGTGAGCAAATGTCATTCACAACAACAAAAAATCGTGAGTTTTTATGGCTCAGTTGCCTTGGTTTTGTTATTTGTTTTTCATCCTGAAATGAAGTAAATAATCATAACAATAATATTGATCAGATAATTAATAATATTGAATTGATAGAACTGGCGGTGATAAAAATTGATCCTTATTCAAATTCAATACTTGAAGAGAAAAATCAATCTTCAACAAAAAAATAATGAATTGAACAGTATACCTCGCAGTATACCTATCTACTATTCTGTGGATTCACGAAAAAATCATGAAAACATCATAACTTACATATTATTACAGAATGTTTCATATTCGTTTATTTTTACTATTTTCACAGACGATGGCTTCTTGCAACGCAAAAAGCTGATAGTCTAAGATCCGAACCTAAATCGACCTTCACCGAGCTGATAATAGAACGAAATATATTTTATCATGAATTTAGTATATTAGAAAACATATTAAAAATGGGTTGGCTAAAAAAATCCTGGGCAGACTATTTTTAATTATTTTTCGAAAAATTATTTTTAATTAAATGTTGCAACATCAGGATAATAAAAAAATTGTGTCCTGACTGAAAGTATAAAACGTATAGAATGTGCAGCCGTTGGGTTGTCTACTATTTACCTGGGCGAACTACTGGGTTGTCAGGTAAACACAGGTATATCGATGCCAGTTACTTTCACTGGATTGGATAATTCAATAAAATTTATATCATCATAAGCGCTGTTTAATTGCGAACACGTTGATATAGGGTTGTCTGCGAAAATTCCGGTCCTATTAGGGGTTTGCGAATTTTAAAGATTTTAATTTCAACGCACGTGGAAGTGTGTGACAGAGAGATCCGAGGTAAGTATATTGTATAATAATAAAGGACCCAACATCGCAGTCGCTTGTGATGGGACCCTGAATAGTAGAAAGTGTGCGAAGTGTGCGAAGTCAAATCCTGAAAACTATGGTTGGCATTTTGATGATTTCTTAAAACCAACAGGTTTTATCGGAGATCAAACTCCTTTGAAAATCCAGGACATTGTCGAAATGGAAGCAAATGAGGAAGAATCTAATGAATCAGACGAATTCGAGAGTCAAAATGATACTTCTGATGAATCAGATATTGAATAGAAAATATTTATTAGAATTTATTTTTCATTAATATTATTTTTGTATTTATACTGTTTTTTAATTAAATTTTAAATCGTAATACAAGATGTCTAGTCTATCTTTTTTGTAATTTCTTAATTTAAATTTTTGGCGGTCCACTTTGTTTCTATTTCCAGAAAGAACAAAAAAATTTCAAAGTAAGTATTTGATATTTTTATTGTCTATTTATAGATATATCATTATGGTTATAACGCAATATATTGATATTATATTGTTTTTATATATTAGTATGATATTAAATATATTTAATTATTATGTAATTAATTAATTATTATTTTTTTGCTACTGAAATATCAGTTGCTCCAAAATAACACGCACTGTTTACTATATGAAGGGTAGTAGAGGTACCTCTACCCTCCATAGTTTACACACCGAGCATGCGCACTTTCTACTATTCAGGGTCCCATCACAAGCGACTGCGATGTTGGGTGCTTTATTATTACACAGTATACTTACCTCGGATCTCTCTGTCACACACTTCCACGCGCGTTGAAATTAAAATCTTTAAAATTCGCAAACCCCTAATAGGACCGGAATTTTCGCACACAACCCTATATCAACGTGTTCGCAATTAAACAGCGCTTATGATGATATAAATTTTTTTAAATTATCCAATCCAGTGAAAGTAACTGGCATCGATATACCTGTGTTTACCTGACAACCCAGTAGTTCGCCCAGGTAAATAGTAGACAACCCAACGGCTGCACATTCTATACGTTTTATACTTTCAGTCAGGACACAATTTTTTTATTATCCTGATGTTGCAACATTTAATTAAAAATAATTCTTCGAAAAATAATTAAAAATAGTCTGCCCAGGATTTTTTTAGCCAACCCATTTTTAATATGTTTTCTAATATACTAAATTCATGATAAAATATATTTCGTTCTATTATCAGCTCGGTGAAGGTCGATTTAGGTTCGGATCTTCTACTATGAATATTTTCAGCTTTTTGCGTCATTTCAATTACAGATTTTGCTTCACCAATCAGAATACGAAACGTAAAAAGCAAAACGTAAAAAGTTTGGTTGTGAACGCCGCTTGAAAAGTGACGTTGTGTTTCAATGTTTTGCCTCCAGCGTCGGTCATCTGACAGTTCTTACACGCAACCCATGGCAATGACAAGGAACAACACTGCACGGCACTGGCAGCTGCCACGTTCAAGAATTTCAAGATATTTAAAGTAAACAAAATACAAATAATACATCATCAATCTCTATTCTCTTGAAAGAAGTACTGCCAGTACTGGGAAATTTGTTTATTATCTATGAAAGCTAGAATCTCCATTTGACCGAATTGTAAACAGAATAATGGAAGGCTCTTTATTAGTGAGTATGTTCGATGGAACTATAGATGATATTTCTTCATTTCATCAAGAATTTGTTTTCAAAATAGTTAATAGGAGTACCTATTACTTACCTACTTATCCAAATGTTTGTAAAACTCATATTATTTGAGATTGTATTATTGTATTGTATTCACTTTATCTATAGCCTTGACGAATTGTACACAAAATTTCTTGTGGATCATAATAAACTGATATTATTATTATTATTATTATTACAAATTGCTAGGGTAAACCCATTGAAGTCTAGGAAAGTTGATCGCATCCTAGTAAAAAAAAACTTGTTTATTTCAATAAGTTTGTTCTGCTAGCTTTTAATTTCAACATAATTCTTTTATGTGTCTTCAAGTATATTATATGTACCACTCGAATTTTTGCCTGTGTCATGTAAAAATGACCTGAAGTGAATAGTGAACTTTCTATCTATCTATGATCAAACATTTCAGGAACCTACTCTATACACCATAAAAGGAATTGCAGTGTTAGATAATGATGGTAACAGAATTCTTACTAAATACTATGACAAAAATATATTCCCTTCATCTAAAGAGCAGAGAGCTTTTGAACAGAATTTATTCAACAAGACACATAGAGCAAATGCTGAGATAATTATGTTAGATGGGCTGACTTGTGTGTACAGGAGTAATGTAGATCTATTCTTCTACATCATGGGTAGTTCTCAAGAAAACGAGGTGAGTATTGGATGGTAATATTGGAATATCTGCAGTGAGGGGTGAACCTAGGTCAAAATTGTGCACAGCAAACTTCAATTTCGTAAGGAATTCCAGTTGTTTGTAGACCTGAACTATAATGCACTTCACCCAAGAAATTACAAGGAATTCCAGTTGTTTCTGAACCAGAATTATTCTAAGGAATTCCTGGGAAATCTAGTTGTTTCATGAGCAGAATTATACCACACTTCACTCAAGGAATTCCATGGAATTCCAATTGTTTGTTCACCAGAATTCCACCATGGTTTACCCCTGGATCTGCAGTGAACATTTCCATGTGCCTCAAGGACTCAGAGCTCTAGAATTTGAGTTATTTTCACCATAATACATTCCATTCTCAATTCTATCTCTTTGGCACACTTGAGTATCATAAAAGTTCAGTGCTCTATATTTCATGTCCATTTATTTCTCCTGATGCAAAGGTATCAAGATGACCATAGTCAAGGAGGGACAGGGGTGAGCACTAGTCCCCTCTTGCACAAGGGTACAGGAGGAAATATCCAGGGTGGACTTGATTTTGCCCACTATGGTCAAATGGACAGATTTGTCAAATCCATCCAACCCAGAAAAATGTATTTCAATGTGGACACAATGGAACAAATAGACAAAATTACTTGAAAGTTCTGTTAATTCATTGCCATTCTTAGAAAAGTTGAAAAGTAAAATATTTAGTACTGTTCAGGGTATCAAGCATACTATTGATTCATGCCTGAGAAGATAATATCTTGCAATGTGTGATGGAAGAAAATTGAAGGAGAAAATATCAATTTTCAAACTATACCTACCTTAACATATTATAAGGTGATTTTGAAGTAACAAATCAATATAATACAATCAATTAAAGTTTTAATTCAAAAGGATCAAAAATGGCAACATACAATTGAAATTATTGAAATCACATTGTGAATTTCACAAGGAAATTCGAACACAGGTGACATCAGAATTACTATGTTTATAATTTTAGGTGGAAAAAGGAGTCTTGCCTCAAATTTTATATTTTCATTATAGTTGCAGATAATAAACCTTGAGAATTCTGATTATTTCAATGTATGATATTACATTGAATCATTTATAAAATAAAAATCTCACTTAGCATAATATGTAACCTAATATTTTTCAATTGTTTTTTTTTTCAAAATTCTGTTCATTTTATTTCTACTATCCATTTATTCCATTTTATTCAGGGAACAAAATCGACATATTAGAATTCTTGCATTAATTTTTTCATGCATACCACAATATGACCAGTGTGAAAACAGCAGTGCAATATCACAATATCACTCAGCAACAGAACAGATCTCCAAAGGCAGGATAAAATTCACTCAAGTCTACTGTAATGAATGGAAACACTTTCTGATTTAGTAGTATTCACTTCCCCCCTCTTACCCTTTTATCAAAATAATTCAAATTCCCAGAGCTCATAAAATGAATGTTTGAATATTTTCTTCTCATAATAGATATTAAATACTTCCCTGAACACAATCAGTTGTCTAGTTTTGTAGCACCCATTTCCTTTCTCTCTCTCATTAATTTTCATTCATTGAATATTTCCTTCAATATGATCAGGTATTTGCTTTATTTTGTAGCATCCATTTCCCCTATTCTTTCACGCTCTGGTCAAAATAATGCAAATTCTAAGTTAGAGCTTATAGAAATAGTTTTTGAATGATTTCTCTCTTGAAAAAGATGTTAATTACATCCCTGAACATAACCGGCGCCCGGTAGGCCGAAAACGCAAAATCGCTGAGTTTGTATGGGACTCTGAGCCAGGCATGGGTTTGAGCCCCAGCTAGGCCATGTATATTTGTAAACGTTTGCTTCCCTAACCCCACACAAGTTTCGACTTAAGGGGCGTTGGATCCAGTGATGGAACCAACGAGGGAATGCAATGAGAAAAATCAGGCAGTTCTTTGGATTTTATAGCATTTATTTCACCTACTTCCAGCCTCTTATTGAAATACTTGAAATTCCAAGCTAGAGCACAAAAAATGAGTTTTTGAATGATATTTTTCATTAAATACATGTTAAATACTTCTCTAAACATGATCAGACAGATAAAGTTCCGTTTTGAGGTGTGGACTACAGTGGTGAACAGTTTTTTTAAATCAAAATTTGAATTTTGGAAAAATAGACGTATCTAGGCTTTGGATTTTGTGACAAATGGGTCAGCGCATGAACCATTTGCTCTATGGCTTATCCTCTATTGTCTAAGAGCACACTGTTTCACTGTTAATTCAGTTAATTCATATGCCAGTAACAACATATAGGCGCTACTGCCCACTTCAGATTCCATTACCTATTTCTAATTTGACTCCATGTACTTTTCTTTTTCAGCTGATTCTCATGAATATCCTGAACTGCCTGTATGACTCTGTTAGTCAGATTTTGAGAAAAAATGTTGAAAAAAGAGCAGTTTTAGAATCACTAGACATTGTTATGTTAGCAATGGATGAAATATGTGATGGAGGGTAAGTAGTTTTAACATAACAATTGTTCATACAGAAGAGTGCATTCTTCCTCCATATAGCAAGTAATTTTTCAATATGAGCATGGTATTATTCATTGGCTTTTTGAAGAGCAGTTATTTGCTTTCACATGAATATTCATTATGTTTCAAAAATCCAATTTTACATTCAGACGGTATTTTCATCAAAGATAATTTCATTGAAACCTTCAATGGGGTTTGCAGTTTGACTGGACAAAGTGGCTGCGATTATTTATGATACTCCAATGAACTGATCCAAAAAGTATTGTCTTTTTGTCTGACGACATTTTTCTAAAAATAATGTGGCATAGCTATTAATGTCTATGTCATTTTTGTAAGTCAACTATATTGCCTTTATGCTATGGAAACATTATTCTAGAAAGAATGTGGTATAGCTATAAATATCTATCAGTTTATATTGCCTAAAACCCACTAGGAAATATTTGGAGAGCCAGAAAGAATCTGATGAAGTTTTTTTTTAATTTTTTTGAACACATGAAAGGGACTCCCTACTTTGGAAAGGAGAGAAGGTTGGGATTGAAATTATTTTGAATTGTTGTGTGTGCACCATCATCATTCATTGAAAAACAAATTATACTAATATAATTAAGGTACCTAATACAAACTACTGAATTCTAGTTATTGTGATTTGAGAAACTAGTACTTACTTGTTTTAAAACATGCGATTTTCTCGCTTTTCTCATCGTTTTTATATTTTTTCACTTGAAACATTTTTCAAATAGGGCATCAAGTGCTATCGATCGAATTTCTTTTTTAGGTTTTCTGATAGTGAATATTTAAAAACAGTAACAATTTGGCTCACTCATATGATCTGGGAACGAATCTGTATTTCAACACAAACATGGAAAACATTATTCTTCGCAAATTATCTTCAGTTTTCTCAGAAGTTGAGAAGTTGAGATAAAATTTTTAAAATTACAATTTAATTAAATATTAAGCTTTTATGATCATATAAATTGTGTATAATGAGGTTATAAGTTGATAGTTGAAATTATTAAGAAACATTTTATTTTCTTCTTTTTAGAGCGTTTAAGTAAAAGCTTTTTATTAAAAAGTTTTTTTCAACTTTTAATTTATTTTTTAATTTTTAGTTATCGCTAGCTGGATTTTTCGATTTACTCTCAACAAGCCTTTTCATTTGATACCCATATTGTAGAAGTATATTGAAAATGACCATTCCGCCATCTTGGATGGTCCGCCATAATGGATTTAGAATGACGTCACATCATTTTTCGAGTTACTCTCACTTGGATGGTCCGCCATATTGGATTTAGAATAACGGCACATTATTTTTCGAATTACTCTTAACGAGCCCTTTTATTTGATACCCATATTGTAGAAGTAGATTGAAAATTACCATTCCGCCATCTTGGATGGTCCGCCATATTCGATTTAGAATGACGTCACATCATTTTTCGAGTTACTCTCAACGAGCCTTTTCATTTGATACCCATATTGTAAAAGTATATCAAAAATAGCTATCCCGCCATCTTGGATGGTTCGCCATATTGGATTTAGAATAACGTCACATTATTTTTCGAATTACTCTCAACGAGCCCTTTCATTTGATACCCATATTGTAGAAGTAGATTAAAAATGACCATTTCGCCATCTTGGATGGTCTACCATATTCGATTTAGAATGACGTCACATCATTTTTCGAGTTACTCTCAACGAGCCTTTTCATTTGATACCCATATTGTAAAAGTATATCAAAAATAGCTATTCCGCCATCTTGGATAGTACGCCATATTGGATTTAGAATAACGTGACACACCTTATCGTGCATTGTCATCCAAACTGAACGTGTATACAAAATTTCAGCTCAATCGGTTGAAGATTTCTACTTCAAAATTGAGTTCAAAGATTCCACCCTAACATATACAGGGTGTCCCTAAAAGGTGCGGAAAAAAAACTACCACAAGTTCCTGAGGCGTAAAAATGACGATCTAACTCAACTTACCTCAGTCCAAACGTGGATGATCTCAGAGATACAGAGTGTCAAAAGTTCAATTTGATTTTCATTTTTTATAAATATTTTTTTTAATAATTGGTGTATTGTCACAATATTCGGCTTGGGGGGGTTTTGCTGGTTGAGAAATTAGAATTTGCTATCATTTTTATTGTAAAGTGAAGAGGGCGCCACCTGCGGAACCTTGCACACATTTAAAACGAAATAACTTTTTTGAGCCACCCCAATTTAATTTTTAAATGAAAATTCGGATTGTCCAACGTCTTTTACTTAAAAAATGTATACGTGGTAAGAGTTGATTTGAGCAGCTGTTTTTGAGATATCTGGATTTTAAAAATTCACTTCGTAAATGGCCAGGTCTAAATTATTGTAATAATAAAATTGAACACATTTGAAGCGTAGGCGGTAAATTAAAAAAACGTCACTAAAAACTTATAAAAAAAGAAGTAGGTACATAAATGTGTTGGTAATTTTATTCTCTAGTAAAAATAGTCATTTGGAATAGGAATAGGAGATTTATCAACAACATTCGGCCGGTAGACTTGAACGAGTAAACACGTTTATTTACTGGGATAGCGAATACGCAAAAAGTAGTGAAAAAGTAGAGATGTCGATTAGGCGCATAAATACGCTGACCATGGATTTTAAAAAGGTGAAGAAAAAACCATCAGCGTTATCAATACACACATGGGTACGTGATTACTTTCATCTTAAGGAAGATCAAATACAAGGCATCCAATACAATCATCTGCGAGCAAAAGTACATTTGAAACTGATAAACGAAGCTATGGTGAAATCGATAGTCAACCAATTTGGAGAAATGGTAATTTACAAAGACGAAGAGGAGTGTGAACATGAGGTATACATAACGGAAGAAACTGAAGACACGATAATAAAAATTTTTGACTTCCCATTTGAAATGGGAAATAATCGAATAAAACAAAAAATGGAAGAGTATGGTAGAGTTAAATTCATCAGAAATGAACAATACAGAGGAGAGGGGTTATTCAAAGTGGATACAGGGATAAGGATAGTAACAATCAACATGCAGAAAAGAATACCATCATATATCACAATTGATGGTATAACCTCACTAGTGACGTACCAAAATCAAATTCGTACATGCATGATATGCGAAGATACAGGACATGAAAGAAGAAATTGTCCGAAACAAATTAACAACAGAATAAGATCAGTCAGACAACAAGAACACCCCCCAATAATAAATAATGAGGAGGTAGTTCTGGAAAAAAATACTACATATGCCAATGTAGTGAAGAATACAGGAGTAGGGAAAACACAAGGAGACGAACAAGAAAATGAAGAAGAAAATATAAACCAAAGGAATTTATATCCAATAATTTACGTAAACAGCCCACCAGAGTCCAACACTACACACCTTAGCCCCCAAATATCGCCTGACATAATCGAGGAAACACAGGAAATAATTCAGGTAGGTAGGGGGAGCAGCAAGAAACCAAGCAAGGTCCCAACCAATCCAGAAAAAGAAAATGAGGAATTACAATCAAATATCACGAAACGAAAAATGTATGAGATAAGAAGTTCAAGTTCAGAAGAAGAGAGGAAGTTACCGAAAATGACCATTAGATTTGGACAAGATGGAACCCCCAGAATCAAGAACATGGAAAGAGGATTGAATTTGGAGAATAATGTAGAAAGTGAAGAAGAAGAGGATTTAAATGTAGATAAAGATATAGAAGATGTCGCTGCGACAAGCGACCTAAGTGAGTTTTGAAAATCTAGATTTTTGTTTTTTGTCTTCTCATTCATAATGGCTACCTTTCTATATACTGTTGCCACTATTAATGTGAACTGTTTAAAGCAAAAGAATAAGATGGCACTTCTCAACGAGTTCATAACAAAATATGATATAGACTTATGTTTTATGCAGGAAGTTAATATTGAATATCTCAATTGTAATCCAGACTATAACTATATCACTAATGTAGGAGTAAATAATAGAGGAACGGCCCTGATATACCGTAAAAACTATAATGTAAAAGATGTACTAATGAATGAGGATGGCAGAATTTTCTCGGCAACGATAAATAATTACCGCTTTGTAAACTTGTACGCGCCATCAGGTTCACAAAACTATAAAGAAAGGAATGATTTTTTTCTAAAAGAAATAACCAACCACATCAATTTCCAGTTACCACTAGTGGTGCTAGGTGATTTCAATTGTATTATTAAAAAAAAGGATTCCAAGAACAATACAAATATTTGTAAGACTTTATATAATTTGATTCAAAACCTAAAACTAAAAGATGCTTGGGAAATTATACATCATAACACAGTAGAATTCACTTATATAAGAGAAAACTGTCAAACGAGGATAGACAGAATGTACATATCTCAAGAAGTCCAGAAAGAGGTACATGATATTAAAAATGTGCCAGTCTCATTTTCTGACCACAATTCAATAATCCTATACTTGAAGGAAAAAAATAAAATGCATACTATCAATAAACATGGGTGGGGATACTGGAAAGTGAAGCGGTCGCTATTGAAAAATGAAGATCTAACCGGTATGTTCAAGGAACAACTGAAACAAATAAAAAACAATAGAATGTACAGAGATAATTTTGTTGAATGGTGGTTTGACGTTTTCAAACCATCATTCAAAAAATTCTATAAACAAAGAGAAATAGAAAGAGCGATAGAAAGGAAGAATACATTAAACTTTTACAACGAGGTATTATTTGACCTATATAAAGACAAGCAGAGTACTGAAAAAATAAAAAGAATAAAGGAAATTAAGAAAAAAATTGTCTTATTGAAAGAACAATATATGGACGAAGATTACCTAGACAAAAATAGAGACAATGTGAGTGACAGAAACAACTTATATGATATGATAAAAACCAGACAAAGACAGAGAGATATGACAATTGAATGTATTATAGATGATAAAAATAAACAACTGAGTAGGAACGCTGAAATTCTGAAATATACCCACACACAATTTGAAAAGAAATTCGAGGAAAAAAAAATTGACAATAGAGAAACACGATGTCTTCTGGCACACATTAAAAACAAAATGGACGATCAGGATAAACAAAACCTAATGGAAAAAATAACTGAGAAAGAGGTACAGAACACACTAATCGATTGTAATAAAAAAAAAACGCCAGGCAACGACGGTATTTCATATGAGTCGTACCTATTGCTATGGGAGGAAATTGGTCCAGAGCTGACAAAACTGATGAATTACTTCATCTCAGACCAGGCTTTGTTCCCGGAGTGCTTCACGGAAGGAGTGATTATATTGATACCAAAAGAAAAAAATGCAAAAAAACTGGATCAATTTCGTCCTATAACGTTACTAAATTCAGACTATAAGATTTTGACAAAAATTTTTGCGAATAGATTGAAAACCTATACTGACAAGATTTTAGGAGTAGAACAAAACTGCGGAAATGAAAAATCTATTTTCAATAGCTTGTTAATCAATAGGGATGTAATAATGCATTACGAAAAAAATAATAAGGAAATGGGAGCAATCTTAAGCCTGGATTTCAAACAATCGTTCGATAGGGTGTCTCATGATTATTTATGGAAAGTACTAGAAAAATTCGACTTTCCAGAGGAATTTATACGTATGATCAGGAAACTATACACTAAAGCAAACTCGAGAGTAATGATAAATGGACATTTAACAAAAAAATTCATCTTAAGCTCGTCAGTTAGACAAGGGTGTCCCATTTCAATGAGCCTATTTACTTTAGCAATTGAACCATTCATCAGACTATTAGATTTCACAATTCAGGGGATAACATTGAATAATAAAATATACAGGGTTTCTGCCTACGCGGATGATGTTGTCGTTTTCCTAATAAAAAACGAAGACCTCTCACATTTCAATGAAGTATTAGAAATATATGAAAAAGGTTCAGGTGCATGTTTGAATAGAGAAAAAACGGCCATTTTGCCTCTAGGGTCCTGGGAAACACAAAATGAAAAGAATAAAAATTTTAAAGAGGCACACAAAATAAAAGTATTGGGTATATCGCTAACAAAAAACATGAAAGATTTAATGAGTGAAAACTGGGATAGGGTGATTAAAAATATCAACCTTATGATATACAAGGATTTGATGAGAAACTTGGATCTTATAAGGAAAGTTTGGTATGTAAATGTATATCTCCTGTCTAAGGTATGGTATACAGCACAAATACTACCGTTACCAGAAGAACAAGGGCAAAAAATAGTGCAAATAATTGGTAAATTTCTATGGGCCGGACATTTATATCGAGTAAGTAGGCAACAATTGTACATGACAGTTGAAAACGGTGGATTAGGTCTTATAAGTAGGCATGAAAGCAAACGCACTTCTAATAAAAAACCAATTCAATTCGTGGAGTCCAGGGATAATAAAAATCACATATAATTCCTCGCAGAACAAAATTTTTGAAAACACAGATAAGAAAGAGATAAACCCATACTTTTACAAGGCACATGAAACAATAAAAAGCATGAAAATTGTCAGAAACGATAAAATAAACACAAAAGAACTCTATATAAAACTCACTCAAGCTATCATGAAGAAACCAAACATAGAAATCAAGAACCCTAATGTAACATGGCCTGAGATCTGGAAATGCCTCAAAATAGAAATAATACCGACACAATGGAAATCGTCAGTTTACAAAGCGGTAAATGAAGTATATAACACGAGGGAAAAACTAAAAAAACACAAGTTGAGTGACAGTAGCAAATGTCAGAAATGTAACTATAACCCAGATAACATAGGCCACAGAATTACAAACTGCGGCGAAATGAAAAATATTTGGTGTTGGGTAATTAAATTTATGGAAACAAAATTCAACGTCAAACTTCAAGCCAAGAATATGGCGAGTGAAATTCTTGAATTTAAGGCGCCAAATAGGAAAGATAATGACGTCTGCAAGTGGTTAGTTAGTGGACTCATATATTATAGTCTGGAAAATAAAGTTAGCAATTTAGATTCGTTCAAAGATATGTTGAGGAAGAGTAGATGGAATTTGATTGTAAGAGGTAAGAAATTGAATAAGAAAATGTTTTTTATATAAGAACAAAAAGGGAACATGGTTTCGAATAGGAAAAGAGGAGCACAGTCAGTACAAGAGAGTAGTTGAGCATGAACGTCGCATTATAGGATAGTTACTAGGTTGAAGAATATTGTAAGCATGCTGTATCTGTGATAATCATCATACCTATCTCATTATGAAATAAGAATGTTACTGTTCTGTTTATTTGTGAAATAAAGTTTTTATAAAAAAAAAAAAAAAAAACAACAAAAGTTTAATTTAATTTAATTAAAAAAAATTATTTTAACAAATGTTCAAAATGACCTCCATTTTCGTGTGTACAATGATTAATACGTTTTAAAAAGTTAAATTGAACACTTTGGAACATTCCGTCATCATTTCTTAAAGCGTCAATTTCAGTTTGAATACGTCTCCTTAAATCATCTTCTTTATTTACTGGCCTAGAATACACAAGGGTTTTCAAAGCTCCCCATAAAAAATAATCCATCGGTGTCAAATCAGGGGACCGAGCTGGCCAATTTGCAGGTGCGTCATTGCCTCTACCTATCCATCTACTTGAATACTGTTCATTCAAATAATTACGTAAGTTAATTGAAAAATGCGGAGGAGCACCGTCATGCGCATAAACCACATTACCCTGCGAAATTCCAAGGGTAGGGGATCTAATAGGTTTGGTAATTCGTTTCGCAGATGTTCCAAATAATTTTCGCCATTTAGTCGAGGTGGTAGAATGACAGGACCAAGTATGAAAGTGCCTATGATTCCTGCCCAAACATTGACCTTAAACTCATGCTGATAATGGGACTTTAGTCGCATGGGGATTTTCTTCAGCATAGACATGTTCATTGTGCAACTTAGTAATGCCACTCCGCGTGAAACTGGCTTTATCTGTGAATAAAATATTCCGTGTAGAGTTCCTATCTTGATTTCTGTGTTCTTGGATGAACCCGCAGAGAGCTAGTCGTGCTTCAAAATCATGGGGTAAAAGATCTTGTACACGTTGAACATGAAATGGGTGCAGTAGTTGTTCTCTGGTCGTCCTATTTACAGTATTTTTACATACCCCTAGCTCTAAGCCCAATCGTCTGCTGCTGAGTTTAGGATTTTCTTCCTCAACCTCTGGAGTTCTTGCCGTACGTGCACGGCCATAATTAATAGAAACAGGCGCAAACCTACCCGTTTCACGAAGACGTCATTCAACTGCCGCGACGGTTTCATGGTTTGGTAAGCGACGATTAGGAAATCTTTCACTGTATACTCTGCAAGATTCTAAACCATTTCCCTGACAATATCCAAAAACCAATAACATATCGGTAATTTCTTCGTTGGTATACATTGCGGCCATGACAAAAAGAACTTTATTATTTGTTTGACAATTGTCTTGACTTGTTTTTTAGATTCGATTTGACCCAAGTCAGTTTTTAGTGACGTTATTTCAATTTACCGCCTACGCTTCAAATGTGTTCAATTTTATTATTGCAATAATTTAGACCTGGCCATTTACGAAGTGAATTTTTAAAATCCAGATATCTCAAAAACAGCTGCTCACATCAACTCTTACCACGTATACCTTTTTTATGTAAAAGACGTTGGACAATCCAAATTTTCATTCAAAAATTGAATATGGGGTGGCTCAAAAAAGTTATTTCGTTTTAAATGTGTGCAAGGTTCCGCAGGTGGCGGCCTCTTAACTTTACAATAAAAATGATAGCAAATTCTAATTTCTCAACCAGCAAAACCCCCCCAAGCCGAATATTGTGACAATACACCAATTATTAAAAAAAATATTCATAAAAAATGAAAATCAAATTGAACTTTTGACCCTCTGTATCTCTGAAATCATCCACTTTTGGACTGAGGTAAGTTGAGTTAGATCGTCATATTTACGCCTAAGGAACTAGTAATAGTTTTTTTTCCGCACCTTTTAGGGACACCCTGTATACATACATACATCCATACAAACATACAATGCAAGTTAAATAAAAGCTTTTAATAAAAAGTACATGATATTTTTTTTAATTGATCTCCAATTTACCGTTCTCGAACTCATACTGAAGAAATGGATACCTACAAACTTCTTTGAGAATACAAGCAGAATCTTTGATTTGATTCTTATTTTCCTATGGTTTCAATATGATTCCAGTCTGTTATATATTGACCATTTTCAGTAAGGAAATGTTAAGAATATCTGAAAAAAATGAACGTGTTGTTGATAAGTTTCAAGTGAAAACTATGTTCATGACTGAAAATACATTAACGAAGAAGAAAAATGAAGAACTATCATCACAGTATGCCTTGTGTTTGTGGAAAGTATTATACAGATGAAACAAGAAGACCTCTTTCAGTATGGTCGAATGTACGAGGTGATTCACCATGAATGTCCCCCCTCTAGCTGACTCATTTTTGAACCGATTTCAAAGTTCATCTGAACTGATTTTTCAGACTTTTTTTCCTCACATCAGAAAATACAGGGTGCTCGGAACAAACGATCTACAGGGTACTAGTACATTTTTTCTAATGGGACATCCTGTATTTCATTGCATTTTTAGATTCTCTTCGAAGAGCTGACTCCATCAATGCATCATACTTGGGGTCTAGCGGGAATGCTTACAGAGATATAGGGTGAGATATATTTGAAATATGTATCAAGTCATCAAGTGGCAACCCTGCCTAGTTTATGACAAGTGTCCTCTGTCACTTAAGGAGGGGAGTTTGTCAATTGTCATAAGTGAAGCATTCATCCATTATTAATTTAACTTCAGAGTTGTACCAAAGAAAACAAGATTAATGAATGAATGTCAGTAAATATGGATATTATTTATTAAATATTGATACTTATAATACTCTAATGGGAATTGACGAACCAAAAAGTATCCAAGGATGGCAGAGAAGTATAGAGATTGATATTAGAAAAACCAAGTCATAGCAGCCACGTTAAGATGGAGTTCAGAGTGCCAGCAACCTTAAAGTTTGAAGGGAACCTAGCAGAGAACTTCAAAAAGTTCAAACAAAATTTCGAACTTTTCATGATAGCCTCTGGAAAAAGTGTAAGACCTGATGAAGTAAAGGTAGCTACCTTCCTGAATATGATAGGTGAAGAAGGCGTGGAGGTCTTCAATACATTAAATCTCACAGTTGAAGATAGGAAAAAATACACCAAAGTTATAGCTGAATTTGAAACTTACATGAATCCCAGGAAAAATATAGTTTATGAGAGGTTCAAATTTTTTACCAGAAAGCAGGATGAAGGAGAAGCTTTTCTTTTGATCATTTTTTGACAGACCTAAAACGACTGTCATCTGCATGTGAATTTGGAGATCAACGAGAGTCTCTTATACGGGATAGAATAGTTCTTGGAATTAATGATAAAGGTTTACAAGAAAGGCTTATTGGAAAATAAGATTTAAGTTTAGAAAAAGCGGACATGGAGTGTCGCACAGCTGAAATTACAAAACAACAAGTGGGAAATAATTTATAACCACTATGTATGATTTTCTACCATACTCTAATATATCACTAGCAATTTTCTGAAATGGCCTGCCAGGTATAGAGTGAGGAATCATTGGTTCTTTTATATTATTGCATCGGTACTTTTCACAAACTTTACATTTTTTTATGAAATCTTCAATCTCGATGGCCATTTTTGGCCAGAATATACTTTATATATTTCAGATTTGTTGTCTAGGTCATTTATTAAAGAAGTAGTGGACGATGACCCTGAGTTGGTCAAGTCTCAAATGCAGTCTGTTTCAAATGTAATCAAGTTGTCTCAAAAGTATCATCAAATCGTCTCAAATGTAATCAAAATGTCTCAAAAAGTCTCAAAGAGTACTCAACATAATCAAATACTCAAGAAGTCCGAAAATTATTCGAATTTAATCAACAGGAACTCACTTATCCAGTGTACACCAGTCTCAACGAGTTGCCTACCCCTCGCGAATAATGAATAGTTTCGACACAAAAGTCCAAAAGTTGAAAAATCTGGATTTTGAACACCTTTTATCTTTGTAATCATTCCCGATAGACCGCGAGTGTGATATATTGATGAAATCAGCTCTTCAGGGAGAATCTAAAAATACACGGTGTTCCATTTGTCCAAAAATGAATTAAAATTATTTAATATCTTCTTATTCCGAGAACGATATTGCAATAGTAGTAACATCTTTGTACTTTCTCCTTGTGAATATGATAACTTTTGTTGAATTAACGAATTTTTCATGTTCCATAACATTTTTTTGTTCCACTCACTGGAAGAAAGAGTATGATAATACATAATTATATGAATAAACTATACACCACACTATTTGAACGTCATTAGTTCAAATCAGATTTCAGCATTTGAATTCGAAGAATTTGTTTAGAAAAGATTGAAAAGTTTTTTCATGAATTGCTGAGCAAGTGACTAAAAATGCAATGAAATACAGGGTGTTCCATTTGAAAAAATCCCAGTAGATCGTTTGTTCCGAACACCCTGTATTTTCTGATGTAGCGGGAAAAAAATGTGTAAAATCAATTCAAATGATTCTTAAAATTTTTGGATTGGTTAAAAAATGACTGAGCTAGAGAGGGGGGGGGGGAGGACATTTATGGTGAATCACACTGTACATAAGATCAATACCGGGTGTTTCTAAAAAATGGTTCACCCCTATAACTTTCTTGTTTATATATATAAACAAATGAAATTTGGTCTGTAATTTTAGTACATAAATATGCATTATATGACGTATTCAATTGTTTTCTGTCACTTTTTGACTGAAAATGACCATGATTTTCTTATTTCAAATGGGACTCCCGGTATATTTTCACCCATTCCGATAAAGAATAACATTGTGAGTACATTGACACCCCATTTGCCTCTTTTTGACATTTATGATCCTGAGATTTTTCATTTTTCAATTTTCAATCTAGAGTGCCATGAATGAGTTGAAACAGTTGATTTTGAATTATGTTGCCTAGAAAAAATAGTTTCGATGAAATTATACTTTTTATTTGTTTTTCAGGTCATAGAGGTTCATTAAAAATTTACAATATCGTAATTATGATGTTGACTCATTTTTTTTTCAAATAGAACAAAGGTGGCTCCATTACTATATTTGAAAAAAAAATATATTGTTACGAACACGTTGATGCCACATTATCGATATTTTGAATCAATATCTAATATCATAATCACTATAGATTGAAAATTGAAAAATGAAAATTTCAGGATGATAAATGTCAAAAAATGGCATATGAGATGTCATTGTACTCACAATGTTATTATCTATCGAAATAAGTGAAAATATACCGGGTGTCAAATTTGAAATGAGAAATAAGGGGTAATTTCCGGTCAGTCCGGAAGTGGAAGAAAATAATTGAATACGTCGAAAAATGCATATTTATGTACTACACTTTCACACCGAATTTCATCTGTTTATTCGAAGAAATAAAAAAGTTTTGAGAAACACTCGGTATAAAAAAAGCATAACAACTAATCTAAATAAGCTAAACATATCCTTTCTGGAAATGAACAACATATATGTCAGAATAGAATAATATTAGAATCATAGGGAAAAAGATAACCAAAAATGAATTAAAATTCTCTTATCTAATATCTTCTCATTCCGAGAACGATATTGCAATAGTCGTAACATCTTTGCACTTTCTCCTTGTGGATGTGATAATTCTTGTTGAATTAACGAATTTTTCAAGTTCCATAACATTTTTATGTTCCACTCACTGGATGAAAGAGTATGATAATACATAATTATATGAATAAACAATACACCTTGTAATGACGTTTAAATCAGATTTCAGAATTTGAATTTGAAGAATTAGTATGGAAAAGATTGAATAGTTTTTTCATGAATCGCTGAGCAAGTGACATCTCGGATCTATTATTTCAGTATCATCATTGATGCAGATTCCAACTCCGTTGTTTCGAGGGTGGCTTTGAGGACAGACGACATTCCGATTGGAGAACAAACTGTAGCTCAGGTAACTAATGCAGTACATTCCTTGTTTTGGTAGATATCATAATGTATTTTGTGTCATTCATTGCATTGGTCAGCAACAAAAAGGAATATGATTACTAAAATATTGAATGGAATATTTATTTATAGGTATTTCAATCCGCAAAAGAACAGCTGAAATGGTCATTATTGAAATAAGATGCTTATCAATAATTTAAAATATATGTATATTATAGAAATGTTAATAAATGATTACTGCCCACTATTATACTGCAGTTATTTCCACCGACTCCATCAAAGTAACTATGTCAAGTAGACTTAAAATATGTAAGAACACAAATGTATTCTTTAGACGAGGATTCGGCAAACGTAGGCATTTCATTCAATAATTTCGTCGGATAATACATGAAAATCTAGCTATGTCATTACTATCAAGTTGCATAGTTCTAATGTAGGGTCAATACACAGTAGAACACTGTCATCTATAGTCAACACGTGAAGACACCGTTACAGAGTAGTAGTAGTAGTAGTAGTAGTACTACTACTACAAGTAAAGCACTCTGCTAACAAATGGCACTACCTGACTATAATTGAGTAAGGGCTAACATTATTGTCCACCAGATCGCGCTGCTGAAACGTGAGGTCAAAGTTGGTAGAACTAATGAATATACTTCTTCTTTTTGTGTTATTTGGCCTCTTCCTATGATATCTTCTTCCCCGTCAATGTAAGAATTGGTCATAAACTTCCACATTGAAAGTAAAAAACGTAATAAGTCTGCCCAAGTCTCCATAATTTGAGGTTTTCTATTTCTTCAAATATTGTAAGCAGGAGTGAGACAGTACTGTTTCGGCCCACCAGGCCTCATCAGCCGTTCTTGGTCTGCTGACAACTAGGACACCTCCACGCTCCGGGTAGTCGAATACATGAAGATCTAGTCATGTTATCGTCATCTATTGGCATAGTTCTGAGGTAGGTTCACGCCATACACACAGTACAGGAGGCTGTCGTCTATAGTCTGGACTCTAGAGTGTCTGGAACATCTCATTTTACGCTTTTTGAAGAGTAAGGATATGCTTATAGTCATGTTGATAAACAGCTGAACAAAAAACTTTTGACACAAATATGTCTTATATGTTCATTGAACGAGTGCAAACATTATTATTTCAACCCTAACAGTGGCGTAACACCAAAGACACATAATGCCATTTTGTAGTTATATCAATATTATATCATCGAATGTATTTTCATGAAATGGATATTGGAATTTGAAGCTTTAACAAACACTCGAAATGTTTTCACTCGAATAAATAGTAGCCATCATTCTAAGAATTTTTGCAATTCGTTGCCGAACAGGACATATTCGAAAACATTTTCGCGGAGGCGCCTATTTCAAAGCGTGTCCTCACTCTTTGAAGGGCGTGAAGTGAGATGTTCGAGGCACCTAAGGCAGGGTACCGTACCTCGAACATAATATTTTATGGTCTTCAAAAAGTGAAGACACACTTGTCATGTTGTTAAACAGCCGAACAAAAAACATGAGACACAAATATGTTTTATAAGAGATAGGCTGTTATATTTCTGTACCCCTTCATTGCACGATATATTATTATTTGAAACACTCATAGTGGCGTAACACCAAAGGCACATAATGCTCATTTTGTAGTTATATCAATATTATATCATTGAATGTATTCCATGAAAGGAATATAGGAATTTGAAGCTTTAAGAAAAACTTGAAATGTCTTCTCCTCTTTGGGCAACTTGAATAAAAATATGGTAACTATCATTCTTAGAATTTTTGCAATTCTTTACCGAACAATAAGACATATTCAAAAACATTTTCGCCGGGACGCCTATTCAATTTCCACAACTGACGTTTCAAATCTGAGAATGATGACAATTCGGAAATTACTAAGAAGACAAGCGTGTCCACACTCTTTGAAGGGCGTGAGATGAGATGGTCGAGGCACTATATACAGGGTAAATTGGAAAAATGATTGTTTTCTTTGGTCTCCTCTTTGGTGCTTTGTATACCTATCACAATAAAAACATACTGAAAATATTTTCAGCAATTGGAGAACAAGTAATGACTTCTGCTTTTATATCTATACTGCTATCATCTGAAATTATTAAGAACCATTTGAAAATGCAATAGAAATGTTACAATCAATATGCCAACATCAAACAGATCATACTCATCAAATATTCATTCAGAACATTCGAAATGTTACTCACCATCCAAGACAATAACTTGTTCAGGGGCATCCTGGAAATTATCATCATCATTGATAACTTCCATTGAGTGCACATCGGCATTCAAAGGGGAA